TTGTCAAAACACTACTAAAACTCTAGTCTTTCTCAGATTTTGTAAACATAATTCCAGAAACCTGATTCATTGTGACTCCAAATCATGCTCCCGCATCCACATCTTACTAGCCCGAAAATTACTGACCTAGTTAGCAAAATAACTAAATTGGAAATATGATAACTATTGGCCAGCCACAAAATCCTAGTTTCAGTGGAACAAGGAAAATATCCCTGGTGTGAAATACCACTTTTCCCATTAAAGCCAAAAAGGTTCACGGGGAACCTGTGACGGATTACACTGCGTCCATAATAAGCAGTGTACTAATCAAACTATTATAAATATGGAGTTCTGATTATCACGTCTCTTTCCTTCTACAAATATCCAATTTAAAGCAACCGACATGTGGAGTCGCTGAAAGTTTGCCATCTCAGTGAAGCACATCTATGCTAAAAAAAGCCTAGATGCTCATTTTGTTGTTTAGTCTTTATCGACTGCCATCAGCGCATTTCAAGAATTATCTCGAATCCGTAACTTTCCTGCTAGTAGTCGAATACTTTGCCATTCACTCATGAGCGGTTTGGCTTCCCCTTGAGGTTCTATTAAGCAAGAATGTTTTCTTACAAAAAACAATGCCCAACATAAATGAATTTTGAGCCACTCAGAAACATTATCTTATCCAGTTCATACTAGATATGTCGCTTTCATGCGTCATGGGAAAAATAAACTTTGGAAAACAATGGTTTAACGTCTGATTTACCCTGGACAATGTTGCTGTCAATGTAAAATTGAGCAATTTAGTGCCAAGTGAAGCGCGCTTTTGTTGTAACTGAAACTCCTCACTTATGTTATAATGCAAGATTTCCCCTCTGAACCTTTGCTTGTGTATGTTACTCCCCGGCGTTTTTTGAATAGCTATGGGTGGCTACCTAGTAATGCTAAGTTACCAGCAAACATTTTGCGAGATTGCTGTTGGTATTACTTTATTCATTTGCCCATTGAAGAGCAAACGGATTTTCCGTGCATTCTAGAACTCTAATCAGTCTAAACGAGTGAATTTCCAATATGTGATTACTGTAGACAGTATTTTTCAGAGTTAATCCCGCGTAAAGCCTTGTTCAATACTTCTGCTGGTAAGGTCAATGACATTTACGTCTAAACAACAATAATCAGGCTAAACAACCCAAATTAGATACCAGGCAAACATGGAATATATTTTCTTCCATAAAAACCACTAATCGCGTATGGAATTTGCCACTTGATTTCCCATAAAAATTGTTGGACTGATGTCATTTAGATTATTGTCAGAACTCACTATCACTTAGAAGCTAGGCTGGCACTTTATCTTACAAACTGTCCTTGAAGTTCAATTATCATTCCTACATCGTGGAGTGGATTAAGTTTCAAGTCACTCAGGAGGGATACACTTTTGTCACCCAAGTAAAACCACGCGTCATTGCAAATATTTTCGTTCTCGACAACGCCTGTTTGGATGTTTATGCTACTAGAATTCACCCCACAATAAGATCTAATATCCAATATCATCCAAGGATGTGCTTTATAGCGGTAGAGACAGAGACAAGTGTAACACAGGCGGTTCCCACAGATAATAAGATTGGTTACTAACCAATGATCTATTAAATACCGCTCTCCTGCATGTAGACTGTTATTGAAGACACATTTGTACCTGTATTCCACTAGATTATTTTGGTACTCCTGATCAAAATCTTCCTGCAAGCAGGCGTCAAAATTTTGTATGGAGAGCACACTGTCACTGCTTCATATAAGTAAAAGGAAGTGTCTAGTATGACTCACGTGAACCAGCCCAGGGTTTAGCTGTCTCATCCAGGACTCTCCTATCACCACTAGATTTGTGTGCCAATTTATGGGCCGGATCGATTCGTTCGATAACATAGTAACCCCTACTTGAATTAGTGAGAGGGTTGGTTTTCTGTCTACCCATACATACGTGGTTCTAGGTATTCCTTAAAAAAGTGAGCATTTTATTCTTTGTTATAGGTTCAGATCGAGCGCGGCCTTTGGTTTGTGATGTTCTGAAGAGGTATGTAAGCATTGGGCGACGACTTTACAGTAGGTGACAAATTAGAGCTGGGGCGTAGAGACATGTTTTGATGTCTTGATTAGTGTGTTATTGGATTATTCAGTAAGTGATGTGCGTCCCGATATAGTTAAATTCGTGTTGCAGAGTTGCTTTCAACAAACTCGGCTTACCAACTGCTCACGTACAAGAAAATTATCAGTTGGAAAGCACTTGTATCCAGCCCTTAATCATTGGTTTATCTCCCAGTATCCTCGTATAATCTAGTTTCAGTTGATCTCGGTAAGAACGATATAAATTTGTGGAAGCACCACCAGAATGTCAGTTGGTGTTCACAAACCAATTTCCACAGCCGGTTTAACCTATTTGGCAGGGTAATAACACCATTTGAGTAGGCCCCCTGACCTGATGTGGCGTGCACATATCCTTGGAAATTTGAGCCATGATTATTACACAACACCTTCCGTGTTAGCTACATTAAGTTGTTTATTTATTTCCTGACGGCAAATTATTGTTTCGCATTCAGCCATTTTGGGACGAACTTCTGAGTGGATGGTCGTGGAGCATCGTCTCAGTGCTGGATCCCTTTTACCGCTCGATTAGCGAGCCGATGACGCAAAGCGAACAATGGATTCTGGCAGAATTAGATCAGACTCGGAGATTTGCCTATTCTCAACCGACATTTTATCCTATCAGTGTAGCCAATCTGTGCTGAAAAGCCGAGAAGCTCGGTGAAAGGTTTTCATCCTTATTGGGAATTATACGCATTGTGCATTTAATAAACGTCAGAGAATTCTGCACCAAATAGGATCCTGCCACTGGTCGAAAACTCAAGTGGCTGAACAGTGGTGTGACTAGCTGGCAAAATATGGTTTTACTTATCCTTCACTCACAGAAACTACATCACTTGGTTACGTATTGGCCACCTTTTTAATTGATGGCTTCCAAAAGGAAGCTCCACTCATCTTGTGAAATTATTCATTCTCTGAGCCACTTATCCACTAATAGTATAGTGAGGAGAGTTGATATTTGTAACTGAGATATAGTCCTGTCTTTGTGATTGCTGTTGCTGGTGAATGAAGTGTTTTCGTGTGACAACTGTTTGGAACGTCACGCGTTTGAAGCTCTGAGTTTTGTGAGATGCGCGTTGCTGATAATTCCCAATGAGGATGAGGAATCTGCAGGGGCGTTTTAGCTCTGGCAATACTGACAGCGTGGGACTCTTGCATTTATTTTTCCCCTGTGATACACTAAGCCAGGGGGCTGTTTATGCGAATATTTATTCTTTTTCAGTTCAGTATATCACTGGTTGACAAGTCAGATTATGTATTAATTTATTTTGAAAGATTTATCCTCAGTCAAGTGTATTCTGTTATGCCCCAGAAGTTTGTTTACAATTTCCCTGTCAAAAATCAAATTTCCTGAGCCACCTCTATGAGTTAATGGTCATATGCTGCTGCCTTAGGCAGTGGTCACCGAAGTTCTTGGTGTTTTCAAGGCCCATTCATCATTTCACAGTACGGGTACCATCATCATAAAAGAGAGAAACATTAGTTTTGACAATTATGCTTCATTACCGTGCAAACATGACCATGCAAGCATTTCGTAAGATCACGGAATTTTATTGTTCTGCTAGATACAACTATATATTGCTAGATAATTCTGTTAAAGACAGGGTTTTGAAACCGTCGCTTTTTATTGCTCTACAGGTCACGGATTTTACTGAACTGGACATCATATTTGGAGTGTATCAGGTAAACGTGTTCGTTTCATTTCTGGGCCCCATCGCTTGGAATATTGCGTTGCTGATGTAAACCGATAATGTATGCACAGAGATCTAACCACCTATAAGGACAACACTGCCTTTTGTATCAAGGACACTGAAGTCCTGGCTTCAGAAAGCATTGATGATCTAAGCCACTTATTTCAAAAGTTCAGTGCCTCATGTTTGTGTTTGATCAGACATAAACATTTTGGTAAGTTCGTTCATTAGTTGGCCCATTCAGTCTGGGAATTATAGACAACATTGTTCCTTACGATGAAGCACTTATTTCAAGCCGCTAAAAAGTAAGCATGTATGCTGAGAAGTCTCAATGTCAACAAGAACCATTTTTAGGATTTGAGTCCACAACTCGCTTATAGGTGAAATTCTTTGGCACACAGCGGAAAATAAAAAAAAATCCCCATGAGAATTTTACTGGTATTTCAAGCCGCTAAAAAGTAAGCATGTATGCTGAGAAGTCTCAATGTCAACAAGAACCATTTTTAGGATTTGAGTCCACAACTCGCTTATAGGTGAAATTCTTTGGCACACAGCGGAAAATAAAAAAAAATCCCCATGAGATATTTTACTGGCGTTTCTGTGGTTGAGGGCAAGGTGCTTTCTACTAACTACACTCATAATAAATCTTCCCGAAAGTTGATCGTTCTCCAACTAACATGAGTAATTCTTGCAAAATTTCGTATCTCATTAGCAGGTTACATCGATTTCGAAAAATATACCCTTTGCACGGCACCAGGATACGTGCACTCAGATGTGTCCTGTTCCATAACGAATGCGAAAATGCGTACTGACGTTAGCAGTGTAGACTACCAAGATGACGGCTGAGAGAATACCCTAGAATAGAGAGTGTTTTGTGGCCTTTTTTATTAAAATATGGGAACGCAAACCCAAGTTTAAGGCGGTTAGGCGAGAATTCCAATCCAAATCGTCAATTAGGTATATGACCCGTTGGTTTGGTCTGTGCCAATGGTAATCAATAAGAAAATCTTAAGAAAACATGCAATACAGTTAGCTGTACACCATGTGCATATTTTGGGATCTGTAATAGAATTCGCTTACCGGTACAAACCAATAATTCAGCACAGTACATTCAATACTGTTATACATACACGTTGCGATAGCTTTCACTCCAGTCAGCACCGACAGTACAAATTCCACCGTCCCTACTTTGGGTTTCAGTTGACCGATGCCCTCCGATTTTTGCACAGTACTCAAGAAATGATGCATTGTAATGTCAATCCGGGTGCAGTTCTCCTGGCTGGGGAAGGCAAATGGAAACTGGGTGGTTTAAATTTCATGGAAAAAGTGATTGATACCACCAAAGTAAGTTATTTTGCCCAAACTTTTACCATTTAGATTCAAGCAACGTATATCTTCGGGCACAGCCACTATGTTGTTTTACAGATTTTGTGATGCCAAACGTCTCTATATAGTCAGGATATAAGCAACAGAGGACAAGTTGTTTCTTCCTTTAGTTGACCTGTCCTAGAATGCCCGTTATTGTGTATAAGCTAACTTCAGTTTCGAAATTATTTCTAGTATCATAGAAAACACTCTCAATCGGAATAATGATAAAAAAGGGTGTAGGCTTTCACCTGTTGTGAATCTAGGGCTCTTTCCCATGTTATAAGCGTTTTCTGCGGTGGAAAACCCGTAAAAAATTGCGTTGATTTTTAAAGTTAGAAAAACGACGATATTTATTATGTCAATCCGAGAATCCTGCACTTGATGTAAACGTCTATTTTAACAGACCAGACGTGGTCACCATTTGTTTGCACAGTTCAAAGTAAATGTTTTTTGCAGGCTTCTCCAAAGTTTACTGGTTACTCGGCAAAATTTCCCAAAGCTGCTCAGCCCAATCTCGACTTTATTGCCCCAGAGGCACAAATGCATAATTCAATGTCCCCACTGGCCGATATGTTCTCCCTCGGAATGGTTCTCTGCGCAATTTACAATGAAGGACATTCTCTCATTGAATCCGACTTTAATCCAACAGTTTACGCAAAGCGGATTTCTGAAGTGAGTTCATGAGTTCAGATTAGCCCTCTACCCACAAGGCGATTTGGTTTTTTTAGCGATAAAAATAGTTTATAACCTGCCCATGGATGGATATTTCATGCAGGTTTGTCTTATATACTACTGTGAAATCCGAAGTTGATCTTTGAGAAGGTGGAATTTCTCACCTAAACCAAAGACCGATATTCAGTTTTCCCCAAGGCCCCGGTGATGGACAAATTTCCACCTGCTGTCATGGAAAAAGTGTACTTTGAGGGCTAACCTATGGAAATGCATCATGCCTGATATCAAAATAAACTTGATCGTGCACACTTCGGATAAAAAATCACTGGATAGAATAGCTTGCACCTCCTGACATCCTTTGACCAACGTACTAATCAGTGGAAACACACCTTTGAATCACCCAGATAGGTTTCTCTTAAAATAGTTTTTCAGGTTCTTCATAACACTCATAAAATTTTCTCTCCATGCGGTTGGTTGATGGTTTAACAAGTTTTATTTCAATCAACATTTTGTTGATCAACATTTCCCCTAAATATTTACTAGATTTTCGTTACCCCTGAAGACACGATAATAATACCCTCCACTGTAATCCCTTCCTATTACCTGAAGGAGACATGATGGCGTAAACACTACTAGGTATTCATGCGCGGACAAGCCTAGTCGAGATCAAAAAGTTGCTTTTTTAATATAAGCCCTTAGCTCATTCTGTTTGCACCTCAAGCACTGGACCACAATGAATTATTGAAGAACACCTCTATCACCTGCCTGGGATATTTGTTATTAGACTATGTTGCGTTATTGTGCGCCGCACAGCACATTTTGTCATGGTTCTGTATACTCGCCGAGAAACCCATGATTCTTTGCACACCTGAATGTTTTAATTTAACTAATAGTGAACCAATAATTCATGTTTAGAAGCGCAGTCTCGTGTTAATTGCAGAAGATCCAGGGCCGAATTCGTTTGGAGAACGATAGGCCACTATGAGTGGCCATTTGCAATCAGCATGTGAGGAGTTTGTTTACGAAAAATCATCGTAACATCCTCGCAGAGAGTCGGGTGAGGACTGCAGATAAACGCCGAATTGGCATCTACTGTCCTGAAGCTGATAAACAATGGAAGTTGAAAAACATTGAAAATTTACCAATATAATCGTAAGTAAAACGCAAACCGCCACTAGCATGTTAGGCCCAAAAAGATACTCGCAAGTGTCTTGCCAACCATAGGGACGTGGGTCGAACAATGAGAAATCAAAACTTAGCTCACATAAACCAGTGCATTGACGCAGTTTCCACATACCAAGTTATCATTTTATTTGCATACTAGTTAATAAATTTTTTGTGAAGGTCATTACGACGGTGCTTTAATCTATTTGATTTTGTGATAATTGTGCCGAATTACGGTTGAATTACACAGAATTTTAACCATTTGGAAACTGCTGAACACTTGCGTTTTCAAGGGGCCGTTTTTCGTATACTTTCACTCATAAGCAAGGTTTGGCAAAGCTTTAGTGAAACGCACTCACACGTACATACATGCTGTGAATGAGTGTATTCATGGAGAGGTAATTACTTGTGGCTTCCATCTATTTGATAACATTATTGTGTTTAGGTAAAATTGACTGATGATGCACAAGATTAGAAATTTGCCCCTTTTATTAAGTCCTTTGAAGCGGCCAGGTGGTATGTGTCACTATGTGTTGAAATTATATCTACTTGCATCGGATGTAGACACGAACCATAAAATACTTTTAGACAAGTACACATTAGCAAAAGATAACCGAGGGCGAAGCGCTTTTACGAATGCTTAGTGCGAATATTATCTGTCCAATCACAAAAGTCAGTTTTCAATGCTTTTGAATCGATAAGACCAGTCTGCAGGGTAGTTAAGCATGGTAACACACGCCAGGTACTTCTGATTAATATTACGAAGCAAGCCTAAGACTCAGCTTAATGAGTCACATAAGTTAGTGATTTCCACTATATTTCAGTTGCTCCAGAAGTTTCACACTCAACAGTATGCGTACCGGTGAAGCGATTTGCATTTTGGCAAAATACTTGAAAGCCAGTCATCTAGCTGGACTGGCAGACCAACTGCTACGTTTAAGGGAATGCTATAGCATTTACGGGCAATGCTATGATATAATATGAGCTAATCTGTACATATCACGCGTAATCCATTCAAATATTTGGTGCAAAATAAAATCAGACTGCTTATCAACAAAGCTATTGTAAGGAACAACAACAAGAAAGGAAATGTTCTGTAAGCAAAAAGGTCAGATCTTCAAATAGAATAGCTTTAGTGATAGTGAAACGATTCGGGAAAACAGGCCACTTACTTGATAATATGTTCGTACTTAATGAAGAACGCTAGACATATCGTTTGACGCAATTTTTGGTATATGTCAGCATTTGTACAGTACAGTATTTGCACGTCATTACCAAACGGGTGACTGACGCGGTTCCCTTGTTGGTGCATCTGATACATGAAGCGCAAGTGACAGACAGGTAACTAGGCGCGTGGGCAGAGTTTCTGCAAGACCAGCTGCCGAACATACAATATCATTGATACATAACACGAGGGGCAGTTGCCGTTTGATGTTGCACTAAAACTAACAGTAGTATTTCTGCAGTGTGTCTCCTATTTTGGTGCTCGCTTAGTTCCCTAATCTCCGTAATCCCGTTTCACCGCGCGACTACCTACCGGGGTTGAGATTCTGGGCGCAGACAACAACTCTGTCGTACTGCAGGTGAAAGAAATCATTCAGAGAGGTGTATCACATTTGTTATAAATAATTCGACCTTGAAAGTTCTTTGATCTTTCAATCATTTGCACCGGGTTTTAAAATTGACTTAAATGCTTGCACGGGTCAAGTTCGTCAGTAGAATTTGCATTTGGTGTTTATTGTAATTCAGTTTGAATTAACTGAGTTGGAAGGAGAGTATTGCGCCCAGTAATAAAACAGTTTCGGCAGCCGTAACCATAGTAATTAGCATTCCAAAAACACATAGTAGCTATTCACTTAGCAAAAACCAAACGTTTATATGATAGCGATCAAGAATTGTTTCAAACACGGTGTCCCACACAGTGATATCTCCATCTGAATCAGAGATGTGTTTCCAAACCTTTCCAGGTTGACACTTTGAAAAAAGTGTCGAACTGTGATATAAAATTCACCGTTGTCACAAACAATGGATAATTTTTTAACTAATATATCGCACTATTTAATCGAGCGTAGTGCGAATACAGAATAACAATAACGAAAACGCCGGAATGAAAATGTACGTTGTGTGCGGGTAATTGCTGTAAGCATGACAGCGTGGGACCATTTATTCAGAAAAAAATCACACTATCCAAGCATGTCTTTTATTTTATAGCCAACTGGTACTTTATATGAAAATTAAGAACAAACTACGCATTCATGATTCTTCTGTCAGTGCCTGTTTGGATTTGAGTGTTCGACCATAAAGTCCTTGTGAGCCATCGATCATCGCACCGCGAGAACACAATTTGCTGGTGAACATTGTTCACAGAGTCCGACCCATAAAGTCCTTGTGAGCCATCGATCATCGCACCGCGAGAACACAATTTGCTGGTGAACATTGTTCACAGTAAACAGTCCGACAAAAAAAACATGAAACTCGAGACTCAGCGGAAAATCGCTTCCTCAGTATCGATCTACCTTGTTTTGGCAGCAATAGCATTTTGTTCTGGCGCGATAAATTTGTGGGTTTGTATATTTGCTAACAGCAATCCATAAGTAATCCCTGTAGAAATTATTCCAAGTGAACTCGTTTCAAATGTGTGAAGCCTAAGTTGAAATAGAGGCAATGATATGTAAAACATTTTTCAATGTGGCACTACATGCAAAATCCTTCATTTCTTTTCGTCTACTAGTTAGCATCTGCGAAAATCCCATGGGATTTTCCGGAAACGTTTTCAGAGATATGATTCGTTACAGTGAATGTTAACGTACAAGGGAAATTGTAAAACAGTGTGACGTTGCGTTGCACAAAGCAAACTTCCGCACTGAGACAGTCGCAGTAGGAAACGAATTTTTTACACTCCACTGTTTCACTAAGCAATCCACATGGTGTAATTTCTCACTCAACCTTACTTCCCTTAAAACTGTTTCATCTATTTTGTGGTCTTATTTTCTACCAGTCTTGGGATGATGCGCACCTCTACTCTGACTTAGTAACCTGTTCTGTTCACTCTTACGACAGCTACCCCAGAGGTTCGAAAAAATCTCCAGACATCTTCCCAAAGCACTAGTTGAGCCGGTTCGGAAAATGATCAGTGAAGATGTCCGTGACCGTCCAACGTCACAGTTGTTTGCATTGGTACGTTATTACTCAGTGAGCATAATTTTATCCTCGCGAAATATTGTGCTATTATATTTAGGCCCTAATACCCCTGGAATTGCACTTTGTGGCCACGAGTGTTGGGCCTATCTCAAACCCTTTGAAGACATTTCGAAAGCAAGATCAATGAAGTTTTGGATTGCAAGCGTGATATTATTCCTAAATAGAATTCACTTTTATATACATATGATCACCATAAGCAAATTTCTGAGAGCATATAAGCCCTACATGAGAGGAAATGGTATACAGAACTCCATGGTAGTTTCATTACAGCACCAGATAAAAATTAAAAATTCTGGAGGATAAATTGGCTCTTTTGACTGAGTTTGACTCAAAGAATTATACTGGATAAAAATCAAGATATTTTCGATAACTCCTTCAGATAAGCAAATTTCTACTTGTTTCAATGGTCAAATCAACAAACAGTTCCAAAAATATTACTCTTGTGCTTCACGCATGTTGCGCTAATCTCAGATAGGTTTGATTTATCTTTTATTCACAACTTACTAAATTTCATTCTGATTAAAACCCCAGTACTGTCAGTATCTCTGACGTCACACTTCGTCAGTATTACAAACCAGACATACTGGAGAAAAAGTGAATTTCGGGAGCATCACAAGCTCGGTAAATGTGAATTAACCTTGGGCTACGTTCCGAGTCTAATAAACGTGGCTTCTATATGACTGATTAATTCGTTTTGCCACTCACTGATTCGGATATCTTCAAACATTTTACTCTATATCAGAATGAATATAAATTAACAGGCAATAGCATGGTTCTGACAGAAAGCTAATGTACCATCTTATTCATTATTCAAGTGATAAAGATTAGTCCTAAACCTCCCAGCGAATATTCCTTGGGTTTTCTGTACCCGACACAATCACCCATCAATCTGAACGCACTACGTGCTATTCTAGTGTCTGAAGCGACTGCGTATAGTGCTCTCCCTGGTCCAACTATGTCCAATAAGTTTGACGGTTTCTTAGCTGTAAATTTTGGGATCCTTGTGCAACGAAAGTTGATAATATGATAATGTGGCTTCACAATTTTCAAGAAGCAGATGGAATTAAACCCTAGCGATATAGTTTCTCCAAAATTAGTGCTGAAATATACCATTGCGTGTAAGTTAAAATGTTTTTGTCGCTCTGTCAACGTGGTGATCAATTGATTTTCTGCATTGATCATGTGTTTAGTATTTAATACAGCACCAACCTACTCTAAACGGGGGAAACCTGTGATAATACAAAAAATTTAAGGTAAAAAAATACAAGACAAAGGACACAAAGCTCTTCTAGATCACAAAACTCTACAAGACACAATATGCTCTTTTTCACAAGACCCCACGCAGGATTTGCATTAAGCCGCATTATGACTGTGCTAAGTAATGAAAACACTTGAAAAAACAATCACTAAAATCTGGCACTACTGAGCAAACTGACTGACTATGTTTTTGCTGACGTACAACTTATCAACGTCTGTTTGATTGGCATCTCTGACTAGTGATGACTGATCGATTTGTGCAGTGGTCATTGGGCTCCGTGATTTACTCTGTGCACTTTCGGACTAGCTCAGCTCCTGCCCTGAAAAAGACTAAGAGTATCATAAAAACAAAAAAGCTCTATTTAAGCCACAACCGTCAAACCATTCAAACTGTCGGTAAAATCGTAGACCGCACACATGATGGAGAGGCCTCTCTACCACTTAGAACTTCTTGGATGGGATTCAAAAAGACAAGCCCGAAAGACAAAATGCTATTTTGCAAAATAACCTAAATGTTATGGAATATATCCCGCTAAACCCAGTGTGACCTGGCTGGTTGCTCAAAACAAGTGATGTGATGAAGATTCTCATTGCATCTTTTACGGAATTTGATTCAATAATAAAGGAAAGTCGATATGAGTGCAACAGTTGTAAATTATCCGACTTGTAGAATAATAAACAAGTCAAACTATATTCAACTTCGACACCGAAGGCAGGATTTAGGGCATCTGATGGCCTCTATTTAAATTGAATATCAAACTCCACTGAGAAGGAGGGCGTATTCTACAAGGTGTTGGATTCAGTCAGATCTGCGCTTCGAAATGAATCCCCGGATCAATTATATGGTATCTATAAGGTTTTCGAAAATCGGAAAAAGTCTGAGACATATTTGGTCGCGTCAAATTAGATTGATATAGTAAAATGGTTGAAGAATATGGAGGAATAACCTCTCAAGGAAAATACATGGTTTATTTCGGGCACAATTTGCCTGACATGCACACTAATAAATGTTTTGGACGGTGAGTTGAATTAATATAAACGTAATGCATCGGACGGAATGGATGTTTCGATAAATAAAAAACGAGGAAATTGCACTGATTGTTTGCAAAGCAGACGCAAGAGGTGGTGGTAAGTTAACCAAGTACACATCGAATACTAGCGCATGCCCAATCAACTTCCATGGATACAACTTGACCAAAAGACGGTTGCCAAAAATATCCCCTTAAAAACAGTCTAGAATCGGACAAACACTGGGCTCAAGAGGTCATCTCCAAGGCACTAGTACCTGGCTTCTGAAGCAATAATTTAGATAAAATTAATAGTAAAAACAATTCGTGGAACGAACGAAATGAAGTGCTCGATTTTTCTGTACGTATCGCCGCTACCACAAGAAAATCTTTAGAGAACTGAGAGTTATGGACTGAAAGCAAGAATATCACCCTGAAAAACTTAACGAGCTCTACGAAATTTTGGCAACTGGGAGCAATAGTTCTCGCTAGTAGTTGTTGGTACGTTCGCTGAGCTGGGTAGCTGGACTATATACACTTCACCACCACTCAGGGTGACATCGTCAGTGCGGGGTTGAATAAGTAACTTTAACCTTGTCTAATGTAACATCAGAACAATAAGACAGGAAGTCTAAGAGGATGGGACATCTCCAGAGGTACCTGTTCGCCCAACTGCTTGTGAAATATAATCATGTTAAGTGGATAAAACTGAACAGTTTGGACATACTGTGGGCAAACGATTGCTTGGTGGTCACTCACAAGACTGCCTCAAGCCATACACACATAAGGTTAGCTAGAAAGGGGCGAGGGTAGGCTCTTGAGCTGGATCTAGATGCGCGGTGTTCAGAAAACATGCGCATTTTCTGCACGGAAATAATCTAATAAATCCACATTGTGGACGTACGGAAGATGTCAGACGCAAGTAGCTGAATGAAACGAAACTGATAAATAAACATAAGAGCGAAAACCACTGTTTAAAACAGGTTACCGTGGGCCTGGGCAGTGATTCTTATAAAAAATAAAAAGCCTGACTTCCGCCTGCTTGTCTGTAAACAATGCCTCACTTTAGTACGGTGCCAAGAATTATGATAAGAAGAATGAGGTCACATTAGCGCGATCGGGTGCCAGTTTACACACCAGGGCATAGGGTTTACTTTTCAAACCACTACTGGTGTAACGGTGGATGCTACTGATGAGGCATGTGGGTGGTATGTTTCCTCACAAATCCGCTTCGCGTCTCTTGAAAAGAGAGATCCATTATGGAATTTGTGGGGTCGTTTTCTAGCATTTGCTTGCATTTGGTTAACAGTCAATGAATGTCCAGAAAAGTTCAGGAAGATGCGTTTGAGAAGACGGATACATAGATTCTATAAACAAGATGCATTTGAGAGTTTTGCTCCCCTGTCCAATAGTCTGTAACTGTTGAGTTGGTGTTTTCTAGAAAACTTCTCAGCCGCGGCCTTTCCCCTTTCGCTGGTTCGAATATGATTTATTGCTTTTACTGTAAATTATTCTCCTCTTAGGAGAAAGTACCACATTTACGTTTTTGGCCGTAGTTCCTGCAAATTCGTAAAAATAATTTAAAATCAATCAACTCACCGTGATAAAGCGAGCACGCTGCTGGTAATAAATTCTGACAAATCTACTGTTTTTCTAGTATTTTAGCCTCCCAGCTCCAAAGAAAATAAAAATTGCAAATTCTACGTAATATATGTATATAACACTCTTTGGGCTTTTATCTTCCCCGCAGCTCAAAATTTTCAACGAACCTACTGTGCTGTCTTACGAAGGACTACTCTCCCTTGAAAGTCGGTCAATCAACCAAAAGAAAGAATTTTTCAATCGCTTTGCAAAAGTTGTTCCGGAATACGATCCGGTAAGTGTGATTTCATTTTGACGTGGCCATCTACCCTTCAGTATAAACTTTTATTTTTTTGCTTAGCTGGAACATTTTTACCCCTAATCTAGTTGATATCGACAGCTTATTTTCTAATAATGTAGATCTTCCAGCGATCAGAAGGTTTTATTTTACATTTTTGATTGGTAATCGCCATCCCAATATATCAAATTTTTTTAAGCCTGTAGAAATGTGGTTGTCAGTGTCGCCATTTAGTGTTTGTTAAACGTTCATCCGCTTACAATCAATGAGTAGAACTTCTTTTCGATTCTCTGAGCAAAGATGCAGTTTAGACAGTGTCGTCCACTGTGCAACCAAGTCTGGTATATTGCTCTGACAGTAAGCTGAGAGAACACCTTTAGCAAATCGCTCAGTATGCAGCAGAAGACCAGAAGCGATGCAGCTGGCTCATAGCAGATATGTAACGTGTCCTGTTTAGGCGTAAGCTCTCCTTGTCTTCAATCAGAATGAAAAATGTTTCACTATATTGTTTAACTAAATTATGCTGTTTAACTTTCCAAAGTCTTCCTCTGCATTTGACACGAGTGACGCATATTATTTTAGTCATTCTCCCTGTGATCTTCTGCACTGCAATTTTCAAGATTTCCCGTACACTTCCTCCGAATTTTGTTCCGCTTCTCGAAAAAGTTACGCAGGTGTCAAAGTTAACTGTTCCTTACAAACAAACAAAAACCTTTTAGTTATTTTGAACCAATGTTTAAGATTATAACTACTCTGTCCACCTTCTCCATAAAACATCACCAGGTGCACTCGGTGAACCATCACTAAACAAATTGTCTCAAGTTGGGTAGACCAGCGCCGTCGTAAGCTCTTCTAGCTTCCGCTACATCTCTGACTGATTCATGGTCCGGTAAACAAGTGTAGAGGGAAATTTTTCCTGCCGTTTTTCGAGCCTCTAACGCAACACTTAGGCCATCTTGTTAAACCTTAAGGCTTTGGTTCTTTTGGTCGGAAAACTCATGAGAAAATGTGCACAACACTGCATTTGCATTCAGACGATCCAGTGATTCATTCGCTTTGGTGGTTAACTGGTCCATAGTGCAAGATTTAACATGCGCGCAACAATGGATTTTGTGGTGAAGAGGAGAAAGTACTAACGTGTGGCAATCATGTTCCACCTTCTCTCAGCCATCCACGCCAAAGGTTTTGTGTCTGTTCTTCTGTGAAAACTTTTCTGTGACTAACTTCCAAAGGTGGACCTCCAAAATACTCTGAAATATGAAAAAATACGAACGATTCTTGTTTCTACCGCACACTGTTGCGACAGATTTTCCCAGGAACAATCGCTGTAAGATATGTATCATGGATAACAATAGGGATTTCACCAAAACACTTCCAATGTTGGTTTAGAGGCTCTGTCACTTATTTAAGTCGGAATACAATTAGCATCTAGGACTTTGAATTCTTTCTGCACTGGAGGATAGATATTACTTCTGCTCAACTGGGTTGATTTCGCCAGCTGTGCCAGGATGATTTACACCATTTCCACTCCTTATGGATTTTGGTGAGATATGTGTAAAAAATAGTCGGAAAAATGTCTGTAAAACAGTGAGGATTATCATTCAGTTTGGTTTCTTAAAACATGGTCCACTAATGCTTCCAGGTTTTACATTCCACAGGTTTACATGGCACGTTCTTTGACAAGTGCATAAAAGGTGTTTTGTGGAGGTTCTGTTTGTCAACTTTTCAAATATTCATCAGTGCGCTGGTGGAATGAGAAGGTTTGGGATGTGCGCCTTAAGTTAAACGCGTTTGAATGACACTGAACTTAAATGCTCAAATTTTAGTGGGAAATTAACTTTGTCTGTGCTGAAATGCATAAGTACGACCGGGAAATTCTACCGATATTTCAACATGCAGTTGCAACTCCTAAATAAAACAAATGACAGATCCACGACATCTTTGTTATGTTGTTTTGACTTTTGTTCTAAGATCCTACAAGATAATTTTTCAAGTGAGCTGTCAAAACTCTTGAACATCTGTTGTATGTGTGAATTTTGACGTGCTGTGCGTTAAACCTTCGAAGCTGCCTTGTTAGAGATATTAATCGCCTCATTTTTATATCCCGTTTCGAACAAGAAAAGAAGTGTTTTCGGTTTACTACGGTGATGCCTCTAGGCTTACTAAAACACATCATAAAAAGTTACAATGGAAAACCATTTCAGATTATTATTTAGAAGGCGTTCAGTAACCCACAAACAACTCAATTGTCCTAAAACAAGCATTTATCGGCTCTCTCACCTCATATGGTGCAAGAACTCTTGAGCAAACTCACGTAGTTTCTTCTAAGAGTACAACGGTATACTTCTTCAAAATTTGGGACACCAATCGTAACTGGTGGTATTGTAGCATACTCTCGAACATCTCATCATCTTGTTTGATCAAAATGGCACATTTACAAGATCCTTTGTAAGGACTGTAACACCGTAGAAATTGCACAGAGAAGCAGACAACTGAAAGTACATATAGGACAACGGGAAACGTTACACGTTTCGCCACCAAAATCCCTCGTGACATCAGAAGCTTGAAAGAAACTAGGCCATTGAATTTTATTCTCAAATTTGAAACCGCGATATCTTGTCCCGCCAGTATTAAAGAAGAAAATAAATTATAAATGTCTGTTAACGCACGCAGACTTGCACCATCGCCAGCTTAAAAACAGACCTGTATGCCAACCAGAGCAGCTGTCTGCCATCAGCTGGTATATGGTCGAGGCTTATGGACAAATTTTTCAGGGTGAGGAAGTTGTCTAAAATCCATTTCGCATATATGACTACCTTGCCATGACCAATTAGATAAGTCCCTTAAGTATGAATCACACATACTCCTTACCTGCCGAATAACGTGTCCGAGAAACTGAGTGTTTCCATGTGTTATTCCATTACTAATCAATTGATCCACTCAGAAAATGCACTGAGCCTCTACTTTTTCATAAAATAATACCATCCAAAGTAACTTCAAACGCTTCGGATTAGACAGTATATTCCTCCGATACATCTGCCCACCATAAGCCACAGAATTTTTCCTTATCCCAATTGACATCAGGCGGAGTGTGTTTCGTGAATTTTTCAACACAATTGCTTATAACCTGACCATGTAACTACTAACTGTCTGTCAATGTGGTCAATCCTCTCAATCAAGCTTCACAAAGTGGGCAATCGAAGTAGCAGTAAATTAAAATGATGTGAAAATGTAAAAATGTATTCAGTATGGCAGAATTTTCAAAGCACATTTAGTTTGTCCCGATAAAACTTCCTTGAGTATGCAACTTGTCATATGCAATGGCATGTGAAAGTTGGTAGAGTAAACCATATGGTTTTGATATTCTAAAATTTCGATAAGATGTTATTCCAGCGCGTCGAAGTTGGCGTTCTGTCCTCATTAGAGTTCTGTTTAGCGTAACCAGGCTGCTCTCGCCTATACATGATAATGCAGGATGTGTTGACTGAACAGCAGTTATTTTATTCATCAACAACAGAGAATCTGAATCAATTGTAGGCTAAAGTATCTGTATAAATTGAAGCGTAGTTTTTATTTCTACCATTAAATAAGTAACTATGCTGAAACAGGATAACACAAATAAACCACGAAATAATGGGTACATTTTTTGTTTTTCTCTGTCTACTTTAGCAAGCTGATGAAATTTCCGTTGACTGGACAATCCGGGGACAACCAAACTGCTCGTCTTCTCATTGGTCATATTTTAGAATAGGACACTGTATCCATTCGCACAAGCAGTCCAGATACCAAATAAATTTTAGGACTTTCTAGGAAGTATCAAAATGAAATCTTAAGCTATTTTGCACTATTTCAATGACAGCCTACAAACTAAATCTGCAGTGTTTACATCAAGAGGTTTCACAGAATGTTCGGAACACGCTCAAATTTATGAGTGTTATGAAAACATCACAGCGTTTGCCGTCTGCTGAGATAGATAAGAAAAACCGTCGATGGTCAAAATGATATATTACATGATATTTCAATTACAAACGGATCACATTCCCTGTGCTCTGTGGCAGAAGCGAATAGCCGAGAAATATACCATGTCAAAGTAACAAAAAAGTACAATGTATGCTTGAGTTGGCCTTACAGACTGGATCTTATTGTTTTGTAGAATCGGAAATTTCAAATCATTTAGCGACTAAATCAGACAAAAAATGCGTTACAAAATTTAACACCTCCAAAATTTGGTGACTCCCCACATATGATACCTGAACCCCGCATGCTAAATTGTTGTGTGTTTTCATCTCTAGTCAATCCTTACCCTTTAAAAATTTTAGGTCACTCGTAAATGACAGAAACCTAGCGCAGCCATTTTACGTTGAGAACACGTCTGAACGCGCACTACCGCTTAAACACGTTTATTCCAACGTGCCAGAGTAACTTTTAGACGAAGTTAAAATGTCACATAAAACAAAATTTTGAACAGATCGTCATGTACAGATCAATTAAACACTTGTTCTTTGTATAACATCCCTAGACTTGCGGTATTTTTTTCTACCCACTTTATACAAAGCCAAGGCCTACTTCCTAAATTGTTCGGTTATTTTTACGAATATTCACAAGACAATGTCTTATTCTTTCAGAGATATACACCGGACTGAAACTCACAGTCGGGTATGTATCAGAGGTTAATGTAGAGCAGTACGCATACCCAGAAACACTTCTATAAATTGTTCAATCGTAGGAAGCACTTCTCTTCTATCAACGACAATAAAGAAAAAACAATCACAACGTTTTACTTAAGAAAGTCGGCCACGGAACTACACGTCAGAAGCGATGAACGCCAAATAACTATAAACAAACCACCTGAAAGTGCAGGCAATATTCATAGGATCGGCAATGGGTAGGTACCCGCCAGGCGAAAGAACTGGAATAGACCTAGAGAATGTGAAAGTCTTAAGACTTGGACCGCAGTTCACCCAACAGCAGTTAATAGCTAAATAGGTGAAAAGCGCTCTTATATTTACAGAATAAAGGACGTAGAGCTGGCAAACGCATGTTTAGTCAACAGAAGACTGTTTGTGCTTGTCAGCAGGGTGGTGGCTCTGGCAGAAATATTATCAAACTCAGCCGTACCATAATTCGCCCGAGTCTTCGCACTCAACAAGCTGCGGTAAAATTATGAAACAAAAGCAACCCCTCTCAAAATGAATCGCATGAAGTAAAGATTAGGCCTGATCAAACTCATTTAAATTTTCTCCTTACTGATCTATTTGACGGGCAAAACCTCAGCCGAAACCTAACACTAATTTGGCTGACTAGTAGGAAGACACCCCATTGATTAGTTAGCCGTCTGAAAACAATCCAACCCTAGTTCACTGGTCTGGAAAAATCTTTGTGCCAAAAGCGGGGCTTTGCCTATCAACAAACTCACCAAGCGTTTCCATAGTTTCCCGAAACACGAATACACGCACAGAAAAAGAAATAAAGTACGATCAAAAAACAAAATCATTTCAACACTGAGGTTCCAGCTGGGTCCTAACTGAGTGGATTGGTTGATAATTTGGCTCCAGTTTTTGCGCTTCATGAGATTCTTTATAATCACCATTCACGTTGTTTTGCAGGTCTTGCGATACAAACGTATTTTGCCATTGCTTCTAAATTGGTATGAAAAGTCAACAGAGTTGTCTCCATTTGTACTTCCATCCCTGCTAACCATGATTCACGTGGCGGAGAACGATGACTTCGAAGCTTACCTCAGGGAGCCATTAATGAAAATTATGACACAAAGAAAAACGTTACAGGTAGGTCCAAATTGGTACTTGTTGGAAAACCGGTTAGAATAGTTTATCACCCGATATCTGAACATTGGCCAGAGTGGCTTAGACAAGTTATAATGAACTGCTTCAAAGTAGTAACAACATATTAGAAACAAGGTATCTGTTGTTTACAACCATTATGATTACCCGCTACCACGCCACTGGAGAGATACAGTCCCAATTCCTCACGTTCACATCACCAGACATTTGACTGAATGGTCAAAACATTATTCTACCCCATAGCTATAGTGTGGTCGAGCATTATTGTGTGGACAATAGTGCTTTGTTTAGGTTTCACTCTCTGGGGAGAGAGAAAATAACAAATTCCTTCTCAACTTTCCATTCTCATCTAGACCTCCGTTGTGTTCGTGGATTTGATTGAATTTTTTATTTCGCGTCTGACCAAAACCGAGATAGAACAGCACATACTTCCGGAGTTGTTTGTGTGTTTCGAGCCCGTAACAAACAAAACCACGGTGAGCGGAAAAGTTGCATGTCCGTTGTATTCCATGCTGCCTTATCTTTACCCCATAGTTTTGTTGATTATTCAGAAGAAGGAAAATTGTTTTTTTAAGCGCAGGCTAACTGAGCTTTAGTATTACGTACTAGCCCTGGGAAGTTCATTGTTCTGCTCCGCACACCCGTCTTTTCTTCCGTATAGATATGATTTCTTACGATGAATATTGGTAAGATTTTTTTGTTTAGCTTTTATTTCTTGAGTTCGTTAAGAAAGTAATTTTGAGAAATTGGTGAATATAAATAACGTGTGCGAACAATCGAACGTGCTTCAAGCTTCCCTTTGTTTGCACAATACTACGGACGTTACAAAAGTCTGTATTTACAAACACTATTTCTACAGGCTTCCTGGACTGCTTTGAATGTACAGACACAGACCGATTACGACCTGAATCCGAATGTATACAATTGCCCGTGATGTTAGGATGGCATTCTAATAGTTAACAGCCGATGATATTTGTGAATGTTCTGCTCGATGATCTGGTCATTTGGATTGCCATTCTTCCATCAGCAGCCGAGGTGACATCAGTCCTGGTGAGTTGGGGGTACGTCTTCATGCCTCTGTTTGTAGGCCCTGAGCGGTGCGGTCCCTATGAGTATACAACCCGTTGAAGTGTAGGCGGATATTTGGTTGTCTTCCCGTTTGATTAACGTTGGACTGGTCTTTAAATCTGAACTATCCGACTCAATCCATGTGAGCTTGCATCTATCGGTCCCAAAGCCACTGCTCTTGCCATACGATTCATCTTCTTCGTTTCCATTGTCCGACTGAGTTGATGAACTACTTGTAGTGGTATTCCGGCTGAGTTTGTAGTGGACTACTGCTACCAAAAACGGCTTTTCTTGTCTTATTTTTACGGGTCCCAAAACGTCCACGTTTTCCAGACTGCGTTTTTGTCCCTCTGGATTGTGGTGCACTGAAAGCGCTCTCCTGCAAAAACGAAGATTTTTCCGGAAAGCTCACTAAATAATGCCATGAGTTTGCGTTTGGCTAACCCGGGTTCAAATCATTCATTGTTTCTTCTCCTACTTGTATGCCAGCGCCGGCTTCGTACGGTATCAGTTGTTTTGTCAGTGTAAACATAGAGCACAAACACGGGGACATAAGGAAAATGAGATAATATATAGCGATCCATCAGCGGGTACTTTAGTCCTTAAGTTGTTTGTCTGGCTTCCGCTCGGCGCCGCCTAATGTTGGTGAAATTTCTGCATTGTATGTATTCATTTTAAAGTTGAACTAGTAAAGTGAATGGATAATTAAGGCAGGAAGACCGCATGCATCCACTTGCACAGCAATCTCCACATTCATCAGACAGTACGCATATCAAACAAAGTTGCCTACTTCATATGTATCCCTTTAGTGATTAAAACACATCAATACTTGCAGCTAGAATTCTCGCTTATCAGACCGAGCTTTTATTCGTAATCTAACGTCATCAATTAATTCAGGCTTCATCACCGCAGATTCTGCGGTTTGTCACTTCGGGATTAGTCCCCTGAGAGTTATGTAATTAGTGCACCCGGTCACATAGCGTTAACCTCTGGTTTCGGAATCAAATTTTGATACGTAACTCAATGGCAAACTGAATTTGTAGGAATTAACTGTGCCGTAAAAATTTCGCATTCAAATATGACTGTCTAATAATATTAGGCAAACCAATCAACAGATTATTATGGTGCGCGAGTTTCGTCGCCTGGAATTCGTGTCTGCTAAGAAAAGTAACCATCGGGCATTCTCGAGATGCAAGTGTCACGCAAAAACGCAATAAAACTTTACCTTTCTCATATTATAGTTTATTCTGCATTCTTAAAACTCAAAACCAAACCGCAATAGCGAAATTGCCAAAACTTTAGCGAGTTTCAGTGAGTAACCCCTGGAAAACTGGTAAGCAGTAAAAATACATGGGATTTTCGAACCTTTCTCCCCCTAAGGACTATCTCCACTAAAACGAGTTTCGTCCTTCACCAGCTAATTGTTAGTCTAGCTGATTACACTGAGGTAAATTTCTGCCACGACCGGTGTTTTTTCAACATTCGAGTTTCGTTAGACCAGATCTGAAAACTTACCAACTAAGAAAGGTTGAGGCCAAACGGCGTTCCGTGAAATTTTTCTGGGTGAGGCACACGTCGTTTTCCTTACAGTTTGTTTCGCTCAATTGTTCGCCTTTAAACTGGGATTAATGAAGTGTATGAACACATACATGTAAGATATATTCTGATGAAATAGTGCATAAATGTCCAGCTGGAACGTCTGACAATATACATTTGCATACATATAATTCACGTCAATCAACATCACACTTAAATAAAATCAGCTGTAGGCCGGCTAAATTAGCTATTGAAATCATAAAAGTTTATCTTCCTTCAAAATGGAAAGTATACAATAGCCTGACGACAGCATCATATTATACGATGTTAAAAACCACTCATTGTTCATGTTTTAAGGATGAAGATTACTATGATGAATGAACTGATTGTAAGAAGCTCCTTAGAATCAGCCACATCCCTCAGAGATAAAGTAACAATTAGAAAACATATTAGTTATTAATCACGTGACTTTTTATGTTTGCCGAGCTCAGCAACTGATATGACGGACCCGTATACAAACCGGGACGAAAATGCTGACACAACCAGCAAATTACCATTGTATTTGAAGAAGAAATTTTGTCTTAACTTCCGAGGAGAAAAAGTGAAATTGACGTCCCATACCGTGTTGGAACACGCATTCCAATTAGATTAATAAGGACAAATTTGTAAATGTTTGGAAAAATAATGCCCCAACTGTTTCTTCATTTTTCCTTCAAAATACTTGAAACAGGAAACCGTACAAAACGCAATGTCTATCATGCCGTCCTACCTCGAAGAGGATCAGATTCAAAAAAACATCATTCCGAAATTGCGTGAGATGTTCAGTCAAACGGCGAGCGATTCAAAGGTAAGCCAAATTCAAAAAACGCTACAAAACTATTTGATTCATTTTTTCCCCAACTACGTGCACTCCGTGTGTGCGAATTCAGGTGACAAACGGCTTGTACGACCTTTTGTTCGGGATTTTTCAAAATACTGATTTTCCTATTGACAATAATGCACTCGCGGACATTTTGGCCCAGGTTTTCCTGCAAGCGGGAGCCTTTAGGGCACATAAGCGGATGAGTAAAATTTGTTTTGTTTGAGGGTTTTGTGTTTTTATTTGTTTTTGTTATCCTTATTAAGTACCCGCACCAGATTATGCCTGGAAACAGGCTGAAGCTTCGCAGCGACTTAAAAACGAAACACACCCAACGGAGAGACAACTTCCGCAAGAATTTCAATTAAAGGATACAAATTCCTTGAAACCAAAGAGAAATCTTAGTGTTCACTAACATGACTCACTTCGCGAAATGGAAACAGAGCAATCGAAAATTTGCCTGTCAGCCGTGTCAGCAGATTCCTCGTTTCAAAACGCTGCTCCTTCATTAACCTACCAACAGATCAATCTTGGCTAGACCTAACTAACATTAACCAAGTGAGACCAAGAACGCTGCAACGAAAACGCTTTGGCATATTTAGCGATTTATGTGTGAATTTAATATTATAGAGGTATATCATAGGTTTCACTTCTTAAGAATCGTCGTCTCTGTTCTTTGAACTTGACACACTGATTGTGAATGTTCTTCCACTGGGATTCTTGTCTGAGTTTGACCGATCAGAAAACTGTTTGTGGGGATAAAGATAAAACGCTACACATCTGTATTACTGGTCTAGTAGACTGCATTAGTTCGTCTCATTCGTGAATAAGTTCAAAAAATAAACCTCATGTAATCACCCCGAATTCAGAAGATTCCACGAAAAACCCAAGGAATATTTTGTAACCAACCGACAATATGAGTTGATTACCTTGACTTCGTGAGTTGATAACTTGATATTTTTTAGATCTCAACGAAGATGGTGACTATTTTTCTTTAGAAAGCAATATAACAGCTTTGGAAACCTTTTTACAAACTTGAATTCAATGTAAACGTACCCAAGTGCATACAAATTCTTAGTCGTGAATACTATTCCTCGAGTGCACTGAATTACGGATTCTGCTAAACTCACGAAATATTTCAAATTTCTGTAAGATTCGGGAGATTACGATGAACTTCACAGAGCTTCCATTCACCCTCACGCTTACCTGCGGTTAGACCGACACCTGGAGGGAAATCTACATCTTAATAAATGGGCAACCGGAACAAACAACGGAGGCACGAAAACCTCTTATCGTGCCTGTTAGACCCAGGCAGATAACACGATAACAGATAACACCATTCGCGCCTCCTGGAAAGTGCTACAGTACTATGTATGGCGTGCAGTTTGAAGTGTGACGGTAAGAGGCACGCGTGGTGTCGCTGCCTGAGGCCAAATTTGCGTGCTGCTTTACGTTCAATGGCGCATGACTTGGTCAATGTAGGGCGCACACGTCAGATGTATGAGCGAACAAAGGATCGCAAGCTCATCAGAGCTTCGGTAACCAGCTGACTCGTAGGCATATATTTGGTCGCCGGATGTTGCACTTCCGTTTCTGGATTAGAATCACATTTCACCACGGAGAGACCAAGTTATAGCAGCCAGAACTAAATGTGTGAACAGAGAAGACAAAAAAATGCGAGTCTTAAGGATCTAGCTGTTCTTCTTTTATCGGAGTCTGCATGGAGAGGACACTAACAGCAGTAGGTAGAAGACAACGAAACATTCTGGCTACTCATCAGTAGCCTGCGGTGAAATGAGCTGAAAATGTTGGTCATTGTAAGGAACGAACAGTATCTGAACAGTCTCTAAAAGGGGAGGATCAGCCAAGATTAGACTGAGTCGACCGTTAAAACCGAATTGCTGTGCAAATGCGTGCATATAACGTGTACCTAACAAGATATTTGATGGACTTTTTTTAAAATAATCCTAACCCGTTATTAGGATAGTGCGAAAAACCGTTGCGTGTTCATTCACCGCTGGTTATATATAAACAACCTAAAGTGGTGAAGCCAGCGACCCTAATCATTTCAATATATTTTTAAACTCATGGTGCGAAATTTCCCGCCTCATTTGCTCTTCCGCAAAATTTATAGTACCATCCAACCGTGAATTTTTTCGCATGCATTTTTACAAAAATACTCTAATCGCTTGATTTCAGTTAAAGCTATGCGTTCTTGAGTGCATCGAACGACTTCTACCTTCACTGAGCAGTCCAGGCGTTGCTCAAGAAATTGTTGCGTTCCTCAGTACTGTGCGCACAACAGATTCATCAATGCTGAGTTGTATTTTGGGTAAGTGGTAGAGTGATTCTTTTCTCCATTTTAAAACGTTGTGTGTTGCTTTTCGGAGGGTCACTGGGGTTGATAGCTGGCTAGCAAATGTTTCAACCCGAACCCAAGGACGTACTCACCATATCTTTTCGCGTAGCACAAAGATGTTTGCAAGCTAATCGCCAAGCTCGTAGAACGGATCAACTACTATCTATCCAACTGATGGTTTTTGTGCTATGAGTATTCCTGTTCCTCTTTCTGAACCATGTTGAGTGCACCTTTTCATTGTAGCAATCAACAGACACCTGCTGTCTGAACGAAAATTTGGCATAACTTGTTCAACAATTGCTGGCAAGCTTCTCCCTCCTCTTCTGGATGCTCTTACTTCTCCGTTGCTGGGTCTGAATGACGTGAGTATTTTTCTGAAGTAATAACCTATTCTACGGAATTCGGACATTTCATGCTTAGATTATTACAAATACACGCCTACCAAAGAAAAGATCCGTTTCGACAGTTAAAGAAGAATCTCTTGTGATTCTTTACAGTGTACCTGCGAAGTGAAGAGCCACTGGCCTACATTTTGCCTAGTCCAGTATTTCTACAGGAGTATGCGACTTGAAATCATATCAAGTTCTATGCTTCTAATTAAAACAGAGCTTATTTACGTGAAAATTGTACGCTACTAGTACGGAGCTGTAGGTCTCTGATTTATTAAACTTTCATTGAACATTTCGTTCACGTGTCATACAAGTTCACCGTGTTTAAATCAGTAACTGGGCCAACGCTTCATTGCTTCAATTGGTTTACTGTGGATTAACTGGACTTCACAGGATAACACACGTAATGCTGTTTGGATCTCATCCATTTCTGTATCCCAAGTACAGAATATCCCAGATAGGGAATATCTAATAACCAAAAAGTACAAATATCATTTATACTCTGGAAATACAATGTGACGCACTGTTTTTCTACGTCTAGTTATCTCAAACCATTGTGCACTCGTAATATCACTGATTTATGTATAGTGACTCCGTTTGCCAGCCAAGTGATTTGGTTGCAAAGGACGTATTAAAACATCTTCAGTTATTTCATTCTAATTATCAACTATCCTTGTACATTTCCGCTAACTTCTAACAGTTCTGTTAAAAAGAAAATTTGACGGTAATCCACGCCATCGCTTTTTACTTAAAGCTTTTTGTCTTAGTGATACGATTATTTTTGCTCCACACGAGACAACTGAAAGTCCTTCCAAATCCCTCAGATACTGCAGAAGTTTCCTTTAGCCTCGATTTATTGTTCCAGCAAGTTTATTCCTCTCGAGAACATGTTCAACCGGTGACAAACTTACGCGACTAAAACCTCCCATGGGTCATTTCACCCGCCTGCATTTTTCATGAGTAAACAATATGGTCGGACTACGCCAAACCAAATTGATTGTTCAATTGGTCACATGGGAATGGTAAAATACAGACGTCTACAGGTCGGCTGGAGTTTGCACTTGCCAGAAACACTGAGTAAATAAGACAACCGTATCTGTCCTGGTGTGATCATCTCAACCCAAACTGACTTGGGCGACAACGAAGTTCACTCGCGATTGAAAGCACTAATATTTAAAACCTATCCTTTTAAAAACCATCACGATTATTGTGAACTTGGACTCAACTGTTAGTGTCGATTGAATATCCTTGGGTTCAACAGCACTCCACTTTCAATAAACTGAAACATGCTTATACACTACTTAAAAGCTTGCTGAAAAATATTCGACAGCCCACGACCGGTTTCGCCCTTCTTGGGGCCCATCAGGTAGGCTCAGTTCCCGAGTTTCCGTCAACCTTATTTCTTAGTTGGACCCAAATTTCAGCACATTCAGTTGCTTAAAAAAGCCATAAACAAGAGATTCAGCTGGATTCTAGGTGAGTCTCCCGCAAAACCTAATTTGTTTGCAAATGAGTGCATTTCACTGGAATATGTTTTCTTACCTTGTGTTGAGTCAAGTTAAGTGACATAAACCAAATAACTAACAACCACCTAATCTACCAGACAAAGTATATGATCCAATGAATGTTCTGAAAGTCAGTGTGTACGAATATTGGGGAGATTGTTTTGTCAAAATGAGGGAAAGTCAAAACGGATTAACAATGCGCACTAATGACAGACTAATTAACTAACAATCCCTGAATGTATTTTTATTTGTTGCGAATATATTCACGGTCATAAAGAGTAGATTTCCTTTTAAAGGAAATTATCACGCTGGGGGACTATTTAAGCAGGTCCTTTGGATGGTTCTTCTTTAAGGAACCACATTTGGTTGGGTTATTTGCCTGAACAAGAAAAAGTACTCTTTTAAGAAAAAAATAGTTTACCTCAGAAATCCTGAAACATCGCTTCAGTCAACTCAAATGGATTTTGCTAAGACTAACAAAAGTAATGGAGATACCCAGGCAGAAATTTTTTTTTAATTCAACAAGCAGCTCAACTGCATAAATAGGGTTAGGGTTTTAGTCCACCCAGACTTGCATCAGCACTTAGGTGTCAAGCGCATACCAGTGAGGCAGAATCATCTACATAATATAATATTCTTTGCAGTATGGTAGCGTCAGGTCCAATTAGAGACATAGCGTCTACGTACTCAATATCTGTGAGCGAATGCCCCAGAAGCACTTCGACGGCATAGACCTTAGAGGCTGGTGGTGGGTCTTCCATTATCTTGCAGATAACGAAGTTGGAATTAAAAGCGTAAGAGGACTACTTTTCCTGACACTAGTTGATGTGGTGAACTCCGGTGACAGCTTTCCCTAAACCTAGATCTCCACACTTCCGCCGGATTTGGCCTAAGTGCCTTCAGGAGGGTTAGGAATTCATGGAAAGCACCTTTGCTCAACAAACTCCACCATATTGCCTGACGGCCCACAGAGTCAAACGCAGCTTCTAAATCAAGAAAGACAAACAATGCTGGTTGCTGGAAACAGTGTCGCTATTCCAGAATCTGTGGGATGGTGAATATATGGTCGAGGATTTAGAGTGGGACACAGCTTGGTTTTCATGGATCTGGCTCTCATTGGGTTCAGTCAACCTTCGAATGAAAAGACAAGAAGGTTTGTTTGAAGCCACAGCTACCAGGCTGGTGCACAGCGCCTGCGCACCTTTTCTGAAGAAAGGAACGATTGTTGCACTGCCCTATTCCACAGTCATTTTCTCTTCACTCCACACTGCATCAGTTAGATTGAACAAATACAATTCTCCACCGTTTTTGAAAATGGCTGAATAGAGACCGTAAGATTTTCGCGCCTTCTCATGTTTAAGTGCGGATTTCTCATATTTCATTTCTTCGGATGGGGGCTGAAATTTATATTCCACTCACCCGTATGAACTTCCCCGGATGTTCTGTTGCAGGAGGCTAGAAAGACTGCGTTTATTTTACCTTTCCAGACGGCCCTTTTGCAAGCGAATTGATGAACCTTCCTTTCCGCTTTTCGTTTCACTAACCGTTGTTTCCCCAGGGCAAGTGGGTGGTACCAGTTGATATAACGTGCATCTGTTTCCGGTAGCAAAAGCTTTCTCCATGTCCTGGGCTTTTTATCTAACGAACATCACAGTCTTTCCTTAGGCTTTTCAGTATCTTCCCTTTAAGAGGTCCCCGTACATCTTCGTACTCGCTGCCTTCTGGCACGGATATCTTAGTATCCATCATGCTGAAAGTTCCTAGCGGTGGGAAACAGTTGATGACCATCGCACAAATGCAGGAGTCTGTGAGTTGGTCACTGACTTAAAATCGATTGCCCAGATGTGATTTCAAGGCGCTCAGTCGACCGACTTAGGCATTCATGCTGTTCGCAAGAATCATATGCTGACGCTTCGTGCTCAACGAGGGAGCCATGATAAGCCTCGATAGAAGGTATCCTTCTCAGCATCAGATCTGCGGTCCATCAAAGCATATATGGACACTACAGACGGGCATCGTTTTTTTTTCGACAGGCACTGAGCTTTACTCCGCTGAATATCAGGACGCCGCAAATAAAAATATTCACTGGAACCCATTCCAGCAGAGCGCATTCAGCTCTCGGGCTGAGTGAAAATCTTATGCCATACATTCCAAGATTCAGCACCTCTGGTTAACCGGAGACACCGAGAGAGAAATGTGGAAAGCTTATTTCATTTTGAGATGTATGACAACGCTTGTGTCTTGTGTAACTGTTTGAGAGACAGAATAAGTCAATTTTAAGGGATTATACGGTTTCTGTGGCATCATCTGTTTTCTATTTTGACAAAGAGTATTGAAGTTAAGAGCTCATAAGTAAAACCGATCTCGTGGGTTTAGCATGATGTTATTTTTTCTTGTAAATGAGCATCTGGGTGCATAAGGCACATCTGTCGGATAACTGACGGCGGAAGATCTTAGCAACGCTTCTTCTTGTGGTGCGAAGGGGTGGCGAAGAACACTGATGAGCAAAGCACTGTGCGGGAAACGGATACTATCCGGCTGCACATGGCGGTGGGACGATTTTGTGTTTTGTTCGGGGACTCTGCCCCCAGCTTCTTACTCAAAAGTCTAACCCTTAAAGCGGCAAACAATAAGACCTTTTGAGAACCCAGCCTGGAGCTGATGACTCGATAGTATGACCTGTTCGGCTGCAGGTGGCTAACCTATCTCGACGGCGCAAAGAATAAGACATTACTGTCTCACTCTTGACGAGGCTGCGTGCGGCAGATGCCCTTCAAATAGCCGCAGACCCTTGGGCTCAAACTTATTGAATAGCTGTCGTGATCAGTTGATAGACCCTCATAGTGTGTGGTTTTTAAGTCCGAGCTTTTCTAATCCGTCACTCCGTGCAGAAAGACAGCGTCGCTGCTTCAAAGAGTATGAACATGCTGGTCGTCTGGGGAAAACGCCTTATTGTCTTCACACTCGCGTCGCAGAGGACAGTTCGACTATCTCCTCAAACCACCTCCTGGCATGATTACCCGTGCTATAAATGTCAATGCTTTTGGTCTGACAGCTCCCCCTTTGCCTTAATGAAATTGCTCCAACTTGAAACCGGAGTATACTTGCAACACGCAAGCCTAACCACCATGTCAAGATGGCAGCTCCGATTGGGGAACAGAACAAAATATTCATTTGGGGTTCCAGACGCTTTTCAAAATCTCTACAAAACCTCGTTCAAAAACACCTTATTCTTTTCGAAAAAAAAAGAATTCTTTAAGCCTTCTCTACCACAGGCAGGCACTTGAATTCCCAGAGTTAACACAGTTTAACACAGTCGAAGGGGACTTTCGTAATCACACTATGATTCGCTTCCGCCACTTAACTCCTAATTAGGAAAGCTCGTGAATACGGATTTTAGCATGTTCAGCACTTTGTCTGCATCTACAGCAGTATGCTTTTTGGTTGTAATTTATACTAGCCACTCACGCAAACGCACATACACACTAAGCTTTCACAGAAAACAAGTCAGTTTACCTCTAAGAATCGTGTTACAGACAAAGTTATTCCACACTAGATATCCGACCAGCGGTAAGAAGGCTGCAATATTATGTATGAATTGTGACTAAAGATTGTCGGGATTCTGTCGATCAATGAGCCGGATGTCGTACGCACATACCTTAGTTTCTTGTTCAAAAACCTGTTTAAATAAATCTCTATTCTGACTGCATGATGATCGCACCCCAACTCCCCAAGTATCGCACAAATCACTTGAGATCTCACGAAAATCTTGAACCAGCGCTATCGATTTTGGGTCAGTTGTACCTATTACATAATTAATATGACGTTTGTCTCTTAAAGAGCGTTAGCAATCTACTATGATACGGAAAGAAAAATGGTGCTTTTTCATGTTATGTTGATAGCTATAACAATTATGGGATTTCTATGATCATGAAGAAAATTTTCTGTCTTTCTAAGTTCACTATTCAGTTTGAAACCGTAGTGTTCATGAAGAAAAAAATTTCCGTTCACGATCAAAGTTTCGTATCACTTCATCTCTATTGGCAAGTCGTGACATGTTATGAATACATGGTTGTGCACATAATCTGCTACAAACTAAGTTCCTTTAGCGACCAAATCGTGTAAATAAAAGGTTCATCATGTGCCGTTTACATCATGGCCACATTTGCTGGCCAGATGCTGCGTAAATGAAACCGATAACAAAACTGTCATTTGATTGGAATAAAACGCAGCACCAACGTGCACGTCAAGAAGTGAATAATTATGTGAGCTGCATAGTTGTTCGCCCTTTGCCAAAATATTGAGTTCTGCAACTGTTCCTCTCCTACGGACTGGTGGAAGTAGCTGTGACGCTGCAAAGGCTGACTGCGTATGGATGACGGATTTACAGTAAGGATTCGGTTTGGCTACCCTATGATTGACAAGTTGGCGGCAGCCTATGAGTACTTATTATTTTCATTGTTGTCTTTGCCAGCTCCGAAAAAGAGTTGTTTTATTCTTTTTTTAGAAAGTATGCGGCTGAATCTGATAGTGCGGAAGATTGATTTTAAGTCTGATTTAAGATTATTCTCGTACCCTTCGGTAGCCGTACATGATAACATTAGTGATGATTGTGAGTGAAACTGGTGCTTTTTGTCCTGCATTTTGTCATTCACCCAGTCTCTTACGCTTCAGTAGTTGCACCGAAAGACTCCTGCAACTTCAATATCCGGATACCTAAGAATCGGTAAATTTGGACTCTAGCAAGAATGTTTTTGCCTCTAGAACCACAGATCCTCTCGTTTAGGGATTCGAACTTGTCACAGTCTGAGAAGGCACAGTAACTTTAGCCAACAAGATCCTGAATGAGGTAGCTCATACTCGGTATAGTGATTATTTATTACATATCTTGCGGAATGGTCCCTATGGTGACATCCTAAATGGGCCTGACAGGGTAATAGGGTATGCGATCTCGATGTGCCCCACAATGGGGCAAATGGAGTGAGGCTTGGAGGATGAGCCTACTGATTCTGGTTTAACTTATTCGATACAAAAGGTAGAGCCATAACACAAGCTGGAGGAATTTTTTTTCCGCTAGCTCAAGCCCACAGACCACAAACGCACGGGCTTGCTTATACTGGATCAATGGAAAGAACAACGTAGACCCGCCGAGTTGTGTACCGTCGTACAAACTTATGATAGAACTGGACTAGTTAAATACAAATACTTAAGATTCACAGAATGCGGGGAATCACTTTGAATAATCCTGAACCAATTAGTTGAAAATTCTCAACCAAAATCCCCTTTAACCCCCCAAGAAGCCCCCACCCTTCAGTGAAACTTGATTCCCAGGTCATTTTTCGCCTTATAAAAATTCCGTGTTTAGTAATCTATCTGCATAAGTTATCCCGTCTACCGGAATGCTTCTTCATTTGCTTACAAGAGTTCGTCCACTGTTATACGCTGCCTACTGAATTTTCAGTGGCCACGCATAGCTAAACCTAGCTATATGGAACCCAAGATGTTTGTCATGTAAAGCCAGGCGGTGGGTTTCTCCCAAGATTCAAGATCCCGGTTGATGGAGCTGCGATTCTTGACAGATTCTGGAATGTTTAGATGGCGCGCACAAACAAATATATCCTGAAACAAAGTGCCGAGTAACACGCCAATTATAAGATTGTTAAATGCTCTCTAATAGATCTCTCCTAGTTTCACCCATCTCCAATCTCATCAGGTAGATGCATCCCCGAGCTCTCATCAAACCAATATTATACCTGATCAAATTACACAAAACCGAAAAATAGAACTCATGTGGTGTCAACAGTCAATACGACCAGAGCTCTAAGCGGTTACTTCCTGACTGTATGCCCGTCTAAAAATCTCAAGAACAGCAAGGTATCTTGACGTATTTTCACGCAGATTTTGACGCTTCCCATTAGGTACCCAGTTTCTATCTCATTCTAGCCAAATTCAAACAAATTTTTCGTATTTTTATACGTTATATTTTCCGTCATCTTCCTTACAGTTTCGTCTTTTGATGGATGTTCTGCGCTTTATGTTGGACACAATCGATCGACAACGAACCTGTGAACTCATCTTGCGCGAACGAAAGTCTCAAGGTGGCAGCTGCAGCAACATCAGGTGCGTTTCCGCTTTCTTTTATCTCCTTGTTCTTATGAGTTTTCTCGGTTGTACGCTTGGTGTCTCTTTGGATTGAATAACAGCCACGCGACATTAAAAACAACTTTAGCCGTAACAGCTGAAACAACCGATAAAATCATCGACTTGCCAGTGTTGTATGATGAAAAAGATGTTTTAGTCACGGGACATTAACAAGGATTCCCATGACAATAGCATTTTCATTTGAATAACGAACAAGTCGATTGAATTTTTTTACTGCGGATATTAGAGATGTAGGTTTGAATTCAATGGAGATCATGTAACTAATTCAAGAAATAATGTGTAAAACAGGAATATGGTCGGTCAGTTTGGAAATATTTGCTACACTATCGATGTGAAATTCCAGTCAAACACAATTTTCTTGACTCTTCAGGCGGAAAGTTTTCAACTAGTTCCTCATACTACTTACTGCGGAAGCGGAATATGTGTTATATTACCCATTTCCAGTTTTTTTCATTATCCTGCTTTTATAGCACCCCTACAGGCCTGGGACGTAACTTGCCTTTGATTTCTATGCAAAAACCAACGGTGGACGCTGATTTCATGGGCTCAGACATAGATGATGCAAGATTTTCCAGAACAAGTCTATCCGGTATGTTGTCTTCAGCAGAAATCACAGTAACTTGTAATATTTACAAAAATAAGAATTTTATTTGCAGGGAAGGTTGACCATCGTCCAGATTCAAAATCATTCCAAACTGTTATTTTGGAAAGATGAAAAACGTAGAAAAAACATGACCCCCGGAAGTCGTATGTTGTACATCCTGAGGGCACCTATTGATCTGAATGTAATCTAATAAATGGAATAACCTTTTTTGCAATATTTTTTCGAAAAGTTCCAAGCGCTAGCACTTGCTCCCAAGTCGCAGGAAAATGTTACCTTTGAAGGATCCACATACCAACCCAGATAATACCACTCGAATCAAAGTCAGATTAATTCCCTCCGACATCCCTCAGTGTGACACTGAAAAAGCAGAGTCATTTATTAACGTGGCTCAGGGAAACCACACGAACTCACTGGTATCAGGTATCGTTGCTTAAGAAACATTATAACATTTGATAGAAATGAACAGTATAGTCTTCTGTATGCTGACCAGCGCCATTTCATGATTTTTTCTCTTCATCAAGGTACTATAGATTGAGCAAATAGTAGCTCCACATCTATTTGGAATCTGACATCTGAGTAATCGTGGTTACTGAATTAGGCGCTCATTGAAGGGCATTCGTTCGCACTGGAGGGTACTAACTGGTCAAACATTGTACAAAATGGTTGCAATTCTAATAGAAATACATGCGAGCATACGGAAATGTGCAAGAGTGCTCGATGCTCCGACGCGTAATAAGCCCACCATGCGTTTGCGTATCAGTCAATGAAGTATGTTTATGTTCTCATTTGGTATACTTGGATACTTAATCAAATTTGCAACTGTCTGTTCAAAATTGATGTATGGCACAGCCTCTCAGTACCCACCGGACGCATTTTTTCTGTCCTAACTTCTTCCTATTCAAGATCATCGACATAGTACCGGTGGTGAAAGCAACAACACACGTAACTGGTTACGGAACAACCTACAACTGCAACGACTACGAGCATCAGGAAATCGATCCGAAAGCGTTCTATACGGGCTAAAGCAACGGAACTGTGAGTGTATCCGCATTATTCTTATGGTATTCAGCAACTTCTCAGCTCGAGATAGCTCTAAGTCAAATTTTATTCAAAAAGATTTACAAAAATTTCTGAATTCATTTACACAAAAAACTTGAAACCATTCGTGTTATTATTTTTCCCTAAAAATGCTGCATGTTGATAAACGTAAATGCACCCCATGGGTGCTCCTTATATGTATCGCACAGTGCAGGCTACCTCAGCTTTCCAGGACGGATCGTGGTACGCTATAGTTAGTCAGTATGTTTGTATTTGTCTGTCAAACGTTTTTTGGCTTGCGATTTCCTAATACATGTGCCTTTCAAAAGAATCAACACAACTAACAATTTTATTTGATTTTGTTAGTAGATTAATCTTTCGAAGAGGAACTCTGTTGATCAAACGATAGATGCGCAACGCAAATGCCTTGAATTTTGTTCAAAGTTGAATGATACGATAAAGGTAGTATGATAATAGTGTGGTTTTCCCTCTTTATTGAGCCTTGATATGCACCATATTTACCTGGTTGACAGTTTCCTCCCTGTTTGTCCCATGTTGTATTTTTCACAATCGTTGCATTGAATTGTGTAGATTACATATGTCTTTTCCATCGCATTAAGTGTCCCCTTTGGTTTTGATAGTACTCTTCACAGCGTGTCAGTCGGTCTGTGGGCCACTTTTATGGCATGCTGTCGTAGTATCCTGGCGGTCATCTCCGATGATGATGATGATAATGATGATGGCTACATGCGGGTGATGCTAGGATGGAAGCGAATCTCAGTTGCTCCCAAATTATACATAAATCGACCTAACTAGTCAGTTTATTGTAATGAAGAAAATTCTGTGGTCAAACTATTCTCTCCATGATTGATTGTAAAAAATAATCCACTGAGTTTTCTGCATGAAAGTTCACAATTGGGCTAGGAAATTAGCCAAAATGCAGCTCCAGAACGTGCAAGTGAAAATGGTAGAGTTCAAAATACGCCCCCACTGGTTTGCACTGCAGGATACGAATAAGAGTTACGATGTCAAAAGACAAGCTGTTCGTTACTTTCTAAGCGGTTATCATTTGTCTGAAACGGGTCCAGTCACCACTTCACTCTATGGAAGTCAAGGTCACACAGACTAACAAAAACTGTGCACCCGGCATAACCGTTATGTAAGGGTGAACGAATCTTAAGCTTTTCACCTAGTCATCACCTTAGTTTCTAATTTCTAGTGGCATCGTGCCTCTCATATTATGTGTGCACAATTAATACAAAAATATAGTCTCCAAAAAAGAATTTTCTAAAACGAAGCTACCATTTGAAGAGCATCATTCCACGTAATATATGGTTCAGTGTGTTTCGCCTCCGAGAATAAGTTACCATCACCAGATATTTATTAGCTGTATCAAATGAAGAATAACGGCTCACACGAAAATTTCGGAAAAATTAATGAATAGGGGTAAATATAAAACTGTCTGACAGTCATAGAATAACTGATAGACTGGAAGTGTGGAATATGGTGGTTGATAATTTCGCCAAGCTTAAAATCATCTTAAATGGTTCAAAACTAATCTTGATAACAAATAACAAGTAATTGACAAAACAGTTTACGGGTACTTAACAATATCAATACACCTAAGGTATTACTTCCAGGCTAAAACATAACGGCAGCCTATCTTTTCATGACATCATTCAAGACTGAAGAATATAGACATTTTTATTACCGAGTTCTACAGGCTGCTCAAAAATCCTACAGATAATGGCGTAAACTGGGGCACACCGGCAAACAGACATTTTAATTGTGACAAACGGCTTTTAAAGTTTATCGAAAATTAGCACGAGAGAAGAGTTCTGAAGCCTTAATTCCAACCGCACCAGAAAATTCAACTTACCTTGGTCCTTCTTCCAAACGCGACGATGATGCATTCCTTGTTGAGCACCATTTGCGGTTTGTTATCTTCATTATTTAGCTCTTACTGGCCCTGACAGATATAACTGGAGCGAGGTGGCCAGTAATCCCACAACTGGAATAAGGACCCCTTCATGTACAAGTTATCGGGCAAATGGAAGTTATTTCTGTATTCCCAGTTCAGCCGGGGGACCTACGACCTTTCGCCGGCATTCTGGAAATCTTCCGTCGCGGTCCTTACATAGTCAAGTAAGCGTTAAAAGTTTTTCCATCTTATTCAGATCTCCAAAACTATCTGACTCTTTACCTCCCTATCAGGTTATAACTTGTAACTTCAGCTGAGCTACTTGAATATAGTTCTTGCACCACATAACAGTCACTCAGTATTTGAATGCGTCTGTACGAGAGGAAGCCGCATTTTTCCGCATATAAGGCCGTTTCGACCTTATGAAAAATGCTTCCATAAAGTCTTAAAGATTATGTGGTAGGAATCTGAAAAGAATTCGATTTCGATACATAAATTGCATAGTGTCGAATCAGGGTACTATAACAGGCCATCAGCGGCTCATGTGACAGGGTTTCAGCTGTCCTCACGGCACTGATAAAAAAGTGTGACCTGACAAAATTTCAACCGATGGGCTAATAAACTGTCTAACAAATATTATCATGAGATCTGAATTCGTCAAAACACGAGAAACAAAAGTTGGCAAAACGTACTACATTTGCAACATGAATCTGTGTCAAGAATCAGTAACGTCTTGCCAGTGTTCGTCTTAAAGCCGCAGTTGCTTTCTACACCAACAACCCCTTGACGATCAATAATTGTTTTATTTTTGCTGTAACCTCCAATTTTAACCCAAACCCAGTTCGATTATTTGGGTACGTGGCTTGCATCACTAGGGCAAATAAATATGTTCATTCTACCAAGAATTACATTTCCTTACCGATGACGCATGGAGAAATTTGTTGATGCTGAGAGCTCATCTTGAAGACACTTAGAATGCCCAAACGGCATACTTTCCTTATATTACTAACAGTCTGATCTTTAGCTGTTAATTAGGAATGTCCCAGGACCGTTCGGATTACCATCTTAGTGACAACGGAGTACCATGGAGTAGATCGTAAGTCGGAATCCAGTCATAAGAATAGTTCATTCAAAGCATGAATGTTGTGAATGCAAATGGATGAACCTAACAGATCTTTGCAAAATCAAATACTGCATTTTTGTACATGGATTTTTACGGCGACCTATCCAAATTCACTTTCCGTTGAATGGTTGATGCCAAAGGAGTTTTACAAGATGCGCCAAATAATCGAACAATCTCATGAGAGTCTCTCAACTATGACACAGTCTGTTAAAACTTTTCTCGTTCCCACGTTTAAAAGTGGGCTCCATGCAGTAGCGTGTGAAATCGATAAAAATTGATGAGAGCTGTTAAAAAGTCCAGGAGGCCAGTCAGAAATGTTTTCAACCATAAAAATAATTTTGTAAATAATCAGTCAGAAGTAGAACATGACCGATCGGTTCTATCCTTTTCATCATATCGAAAGGCATCTTCAAAGGCATCTTCCAAAGGCATCTTCAAATGATAATAAATTAGGACGCCATACCAAGTTGCTAAAGTGGCGTTTCTTTTCATGTGCTCACGTTTGTCTGCATGTCGGCTTTTCATCGCCTTCATTCTTTGATCATCATCTTGTGTGCACAACTTTCGCTTGGACGCCTAACTTGCAAAGTATAATGTCTAAGACAGATAGAAAACGGATGACGACAATGTACGGACGTACGTTGAACAGTGAACTCCCTTATGAATATCTACACGAGTTAGAAAGTTTCTCCAGACGACCGTTGGTATTTCACCTCAAAGCATGACTGCAACTACTTCTAGACGCAAAACATAGTGAGACAACCAAAACCGGCTGGATGGATTCAAACGTGGAAATAATAAAGAAACTCTATTTAACAGACTATCCCTTAACTTGTTAACATTCAGCTATTTGGCTTTTTAGGGTTTTGTTTGATAAGCAACGGTTTAAGCTTACTCAAAGT